TAAAGTGAGGAGGAATATTTGCTATTATCCCTATTGTTTATAGTGCTGCACAGAGTAATTTTTTAATTCGTATCATGTTAAATTCGGTTGCATGACATGTAGCCTTTTCCCGTGATAATTGCTCCGCGGCCAATGTCCTACACTAACCAAATAATCAAGTTAAAGCGGGACTGCACTACTTGTAGTTACTTGCGCCCTCTATATAGCAAACAATGCCTAAGCGGTACCCGTTGGTCCCCCATGATCCCCTTTTCTTATGTTAATTGAGAGCTGATCTGACGAGCTAACCACCTGTAAGTGGCCACGCTGGGAGGTCTAATATCTCCTGGCTTAACTAGTGCAGACAGGCTTTAAACATTGTACCAAACACTATCCCTAACTCTAACCCACATCCTAAATATAACCGAAATAAGACGAAATTGCGAGCAAAATTTATATTAAATATCGAAGCACCAGACGCCAGACCACATAACGGATATCTAAATTCCGCTTTTTGTATAGTCATTTAATAATATTGATTATATTAAACGACGTATATTGCATGTTTGTTTGAAGTCTACACGAATATCCAGAGTTATGCAATACTCATAAATTAAAATATGTATCGTAAAAGCTACCCCCCAGAGCATTCAATATCTATATACATTTAGTATTAAACCATTTTAATGGTATCGTGAGAAAGGCAATTATATATATTTATTGTACAAACAGATAAACTTGGCAACTACTGAATGGTAATGGACAATCGTAATATTAAGAGATCGATTTGGGCTGTCCACGTATCTATTGATTAGTAGTTGGAAATCGCATTAGACATGGACAGATAGTCGTCTGGAACAGCTAAATTGATGATGCAGTTTAATTCTATTTTCGTTGCTTTCTTATGTGGTAGCTCAAAACTAATTAAGATAACAATTATATAAATAAGAATCAATACAGCATTGAGTAATTAGTCACGTCATCTCTGTCTCTATGGATAACCGTTCGCAAACACTTTCTTGAAAATCAACTTAAGGCAATTTATTTGAGCTTTCTCCTTCACCTGTAGAAAGTATATGCAAACATTACAATGACATTTCACATAATCTGAATATTCTTTATAGAATATACATTTTTCTATTGAAAATGTACTTGTGTTGATTATACGAATGTATTTTTTTCATTCCAGATAAATTATGTATTTGATAAAGAACACCTAGTAGAGAACTGAAAGTGATAAAAGATCATTATGAGAAGATTGCCTCTCGACAAACTGTTACCTAAAGAGAATCATGGAGATGAAGATGGATATCATCAGGCCGTCGACATTTACCTTTTTCAAGTACACTTAAAGATCATTATAGTACTTGTTTACCAACGTAGTAAGGTTAAGATTTACCGTTAGCGGGCAAACTTTAAAGAAAAGATTTCTAACTGAGAACTGTTGCTGAGCTAGCGCCATGACCGTCCCTGGACGGTGTTATTAAGTTTACATGATTATTATTATTTTTAGTCTCACGTTTCAATGTAATGTTTATTACCTAGTTATTTGATTAGCTCACAATGACATACATCATGAAACGTATCCACCAAATAAAAAGTACTAAAGAATTAATGAATTTTCAAACGAATTGATATTTTCAAATGTAATTCACATATAATTTGCTGGTATGATTTAAGTTTGAATGACTAAGCTGATATTCGAGCATGATACTCTCCTAAATAACACACTCAACGAGGGCATGTTTTCGTTAGCTTTCTTGACACGCAGGTAACTGCACCAAGATTGCCCTAGGACGTAAAACGGGACATTCCCTTAAAATGTAGGTTTGGAAAGCACATCGTTGATGGAACAAGCCATCATTAGATCAATGTTTCAGCAGTTCGCTGTGGCAAATCTACTTGCCTCGCTAAGAAAGCATTAAAAGAGTACAAGCAGCCGCTGGGGGGCCTCCAGGTGTATTAGGTTGCAACAGAATTCGGGCAAGTCTAAACTGTTAATACTGATTCATGCATATATTGAAAACCTAATATTATTACTTTGCAGTATTTGATCATAAAATAAATCAAACTCTTTCTCGAGAACTAAGGATATATTAAATTGGAAAAACCATAGTCACTCTTTGGAGATACAGTCATTTTTTAGAATGTCTGTAGAGATCGTCCAATTTTTAAGTCCAAATGACCGTTACAATCCATCGTTCCTGTCTCCTCAAACACATATTGAACGGACACACGAATATCCTAGAAACGTATAAATTATACTTGCACTTCCACATGTTATTCCTCTAGGTGACAAGGGGCGCTCCATTTGCCTAGGATCTAGGACACTTGATAAGAGGAAGTAATTCATGCTAAGGAATATTAAATATACACGCTTTTGATCCACAGCACTGTTAGTGATTTATTTACATTCTTACAAGATACTGGGATTTCTAGGGCGGACGATAATAAAACATATTATAAATATCTCCATAGCAACGCGATCATTGATTTAGTGAAGTATGAAACCACATAATTATGGGCCTCTTATTGGTCAAAACTGCAGGCATTAAATTCGATACTGCCTGCTGGGCAGTATACAATGCAAGGACGCAACAGACTTTATTCACCAGCTATCATATAGGAAACCAAAATAACGTTTTTAAGTTAAAGGGATATAAAAGCAGTAACATGAACTGATAGGAAACTGTCCCTACACGCGCAGCGAGACACGCGCAATGCATGCTCTTAGATTGGGTAAATTTCCTTTGACGTTATAAATAAATACTTTGATAGGCATTTTTGGTTGAAATGTCTTTTTTAAAATATAGAATAGATACGGGGGATGCGGTATATAACAATTTGTCTCGGGGCACAGTCAGTTTCGAGATCACCTTGGGAAAAGTTTTAATCGTGACCCTCAAAACAATCAGTATTTGTATGATATGATGTACGCCCTGTAGACAAAATTACAGTGATCCCCTTATCATGTTTACACCGGCTCAAGATGTAGAAAGGCTCTTTCGACCTGATTTTCGTAGACTCAAATGTAAAATTTCGTAACAGCCCATTACGTCATATCACCTAATTCACATAATTACGTAATTGCTTTTTTTTTGTTCTGCCTGATTTTCAGAGACTCTGTCTTCTTCTATATACTTCAAATTTTCACAGAGTAACAACAAAAACTTTTTGTATACTCCTATTTGCACAGATTCACATGCAAGGGTGTCGATTTGTATCCGTGGTTGGGGGGGATGATAGGTGCCAAAATATTTTCGGCAATGGATCAAAGCAACCAAAGTGGTAGAAGCGTGTGGCAAGTTGCACCCCTCCCAAGCGCGTAGCCAGGATTTAATTTAAGGGGGGGCGGTAGTTAGCACACGAAGCGCGGTTCCTAGGGGGTTGGGTGCAGGGAGGGGGAGTCCCCCCCCCCCCGCAAAGCGAGGAAGCTTTGACGTTTCACTAAATTATTAGAGAAAGAAGACGATTCGTTGGACCGTTCTCGACTCTTAATCCTTGTTTGAATTAAATTCTCCTTCCTCCGCGCGTAGCGCGGTAGCTCTGACGTTTCATTAGATTATTAAAGAAAGAAGACGATTCTATGTACCATTCTCGACTCTTATTCCTTGTTTGAATCAAGCTCCCCTTCCCCCGCGCGTAGCGCGGAAGCTCTGACGTTTCATTAGATTATTAAAGAAAGAAGACGATTCGATGTACCATTCTCGACTCTTAATCCTTGTTTGAATCAAGTTCCCCTTCCCCCGCGCGTAGCGCGGAAGCTCTGACGTTTCATTAGATTATTAAAGAAAGAAGACGATTCTATGTACCATTCTCGACTCTTAATCCTTGTCTGAATTCATTTTTACCCAATCCTGCGCGAAGCGCGGAAGCTTTCACATTTTATTACATTATTAGAGAAAGAAGACGATTTGTTGTATCGTGTCCTTCATGAATTCAGTTTCCCCCCTACCGCGCGAAGCGCGGAAGCTTTAATGTTTCAATAAATTATTACTCTTTATCCTTGTCTGTATTCACTTTCGCCCATTCCGCGCGTAGCGCGGAAGCTTTCACGTTTTATTAAATTATTAGTAAAAGAAGACGATTAGTTGTATCGTGTACTTTGACGTTTCATTTGATTATTACTCTTAATCCACGTCTGAATTCAGTTGCCCCCCTAACAGCTTTGCCCTGTTCGCTAAATTATTAGAGAAAGAAGACGATTCATTGTACTGTTCTCTATATTAATCCTTGTCTGAATTCAGTTTCCCAACTGAAAATAAGTTGTGACATAATAATCTTTCTCCAAAAATGAAAAATGTTTTAGGAAATATCAGGAAATAAAATGAGTGAAAAAAATAAAAATAAAGATACAATGACGTGAATTTTAAAAAGGGTGAACGGAAACAACATAACAACTAGTGAACTATTTTATAAGTCATACTAATGTCCGAAAATCTTTCTCTTTGTCTCCGATCTCATCACGAAATCGTCACAGAGTTCATCTATGTTTACACTGTCCAGGATTGTCTGATGTGCATTGCAGATTGCTACTTTTGTGCTTCGCGCTTAACATTTAGCTCGTTGCTTTTGATGCTGCGTCTTTGCATTTGGCGCACTGCATTTCTATGATATGCTGTTGATTGAACAAATTGAATAAATTCATCAATTCCTGATGAAGCCGTATGAGCGAGAATTCAATTTATTCTTGTCTCATATACGGTTGTCTTATTAACTTCGTATATAATGTATGTATTATGAAAATGAGATAGCAAAATGTGTATATTGATGGTCATCTTGCGAGTAATAACAATTAACTACTCTCATCGGACTCTCATCATTAATTTTTCTCTTCATTTAAAAAAATAATTGTATGGTGAATTATTGGGGGGGATGATTGTACAGGCCATCCCCCCCACCTGAAATATTGGGGGGGGATATATCCCCCCCATCCCCCCCGGGATCGACACCCATGTTCACATGTCTACGCAAGATAATGATAAGTTTATTTAAAATAATTAACTGTTCTTCCTTTGCAGACTCAAATATCTTTTCAAGATGATGAAAGAATTGACAGTTGCTGCTCTCGTTGTGTTGGCTCTATCAAGTGCATTTGCTTCACCTCTCCTTGAATCCCAGGTAAGCCGTCCATAATAAATCATTTGATATGATTCGATTGTCTTGATTTAATTAATTCGATTAACCATACAAATAGTGGGGAAGCTATTGGGCGTTTGTCAGATCTTTACCCTCAAACGAAGTCAAAACAGTCAGGGGCATATGTGTGTTCGGGAATGTCCCTGTGAATTATGGATGTATATACATGTACTACAAGCTATATCACGAATTTTACACATTTTTTCGGAAGACCTTTTTCATTATTGATACTCACAATCCGTACAGGCCTGGTCACAATGAACCCACAACGCATTTGTGCCACGACACGACAGAAAATGTGGGCTAATCGTGGGTCATCGGGGTTCGTCGCAAGACAGTCTTACGAAATGTTGAGCGTCGTGTCATCGACTTGCTGTCGTGAGGCAAAATTGGACATCCACCTTTTTGGTTCGACAATTTTGTTGTGGTACCTATGTCTTGTGGCTGTCGTGAATGATTCCTACGACAGTCTTGTGACTACCGTGCGATAAATATCTTGTTGCAGTGGATACTAAAGTGTTTTTTTAGTCGAACAATCTGACGACTGGCGTAAGACTGTCCTACGACTGTCTCACGAATATTATATTTCGGAAGAGGCTCGCATAGCAAGTCTGTCATGTGTAAGTCTTGAAGCACATTTTCTTTTTTTCTTCTTGGGAGGCATCATGGTTACAAATTTTGATTAAATTCGGGCAGGACTGTTTCAACTGAAAAAATCACGAGAACAAAATGACGGTGCGCGGGCGTCCCACGCGCATCCCACGAGTGAACCACGACCTGATCACAGCCCCCGACTGTAATAATAATAATAATAATAATAATATGTCTTGTTTACCCAGGGTAGCCTCATTAGTATTCATACTGTTCTCCCTGAGGGCCCTGCAATCATAGACAACTCACGATGGCCCCACGACTGTCACACGACTGACTTGCCACACACCCACGATATAACCACGACGTGTCTTTTTTTCTGACGCCAAACCATCTTTAATGTGTCGTAGCGCTTGTGACCACTCGAAATAGATTTCGGGCATGTTGCAAGATGTGGCCACGACATCTACTACCAAACCTTTCGTAAGATCCGTTGTGACCGAGACTTAAAGCGTCGTAAAGCAAGTGAATGAATTAAATCACACCGAACCGAATCTTTATGCGTATTTAGCCACTATATCAAATTTCCTATAACTTCCTCCCTGTACAGGTTTTTCATTTTTCTTAGTGTCTGCTGGTGTTTTTTTAATTAGCATGAAAAAAGGATAAATGTTGCTGCAGGAATCTATATCACCTTGGAGCAATGATATTGGATGACAAAATAGAATCTTTTGTGGGCACGTTTTCTTTTTTAGACATCGTCACAGCTGTGTTAATTTATGTACCCAGGTTTGAAATAGTCGATTTCTTGTTAACCGATAGATGCACGTAACCATGGAATTGAGGTTTTCTGGTCTGTAAAGATGCAGCGAAACGTGTATGTCAAACGTGTATGAAAACAAAAAAAATGATATATTTTTGTTTCTTTCAAACCTTACTCTCTTTATAGCTTCGTTTTCATTCTGATGTCGCAGAACTTATTGCAGATATATTCAAAAACGGTAAGTCGTCAAATTTCGTTCTAGGTCATAGATCTCTTCCACTAAAAACGTCCAAAGCAGAGTATATCCTTCACCTTTTCATTCTCGGAAAATGTGATTAAAGGGACTTTGTAACATTGTTCAGATGAGAGAAAGTGGTGCTAAGGAGGTGACAAGATAATCTGAAAGTTTGAGTGAAAACGGACCATTATTAATGATGTAAATTGGGAAACACTGATCTGATCCATTCCTTAATTCTCTCAACTATATTAATCCAATTTAAATACATTTAGGCGAATGTAAATCGTCACAAATCAATGAATTGGCTTTACATACCATTCCAGACATTTAAGTGTTGAATGATTTTTTTAATGCCTTTTTTCATTGAAAAACTGTTGGGAAAAGTCGAAAATGGTTACTGTTAATCACTGTAAGAGGGTGTTGCACAGTGACACCTTTTTTCAGAATATGTTTGCATGTTATAGAGGGTTAGTGCAATAAAATGAATATAATAAGTAACATTTCAAACAAAAATTATGCACAAAGTTCATTCAAACCTCCTACTTTTCTGGAAGGATAAAATTAGATGAATAATATACGAATGCGATTTACAAGACGAGGAAATTTATGAATTGGTTCATTAACTTTGTATATCTTCTCAAACCATTAACATAATTTGGTAGAATTAAAATTCAATCCACGTTCCCGTCTAATATTCTTTATTCACACAATAAAATGGCATGAAAAAAAGACAATTAGATATGGCGAAGTTATGAATATAAATCGGTCATTGACACAATTCACTTTACCTGTCGTTGCTAGCGTCAAGCCTGGAATTCTATTGAAGATTGGGGATTTAGATGTTGTTCTTCTATTTCTAGGATATATTTATGAAATGCGCAAACATACTTTTGAAAAATTCGCTATAGTTTTTCTTTTTGAATGTCCCTTTTTCTATATATTTTACCCAAAAAAATACTGATATGCATTCATGCATTGTTTTATTCATATACCGCATATAAAAATTCTAGTCCTCTGATTGGTGAAATATGCAGGCATTAAATTTGCTTCTGACTGCAAAAAATAATGTTGACTGCTGTGAGGGGCACGGAAAAAAAAACTATGGCCCGAGATGGGCTCGCAACTGTGCTTATGACCAAAGACGACAGTCGAGGGGCATAGCACAGTTGCGAGATCACCGAAGGCCATGATTTAAACCGTGACGCGAAATAGAAGCAGACAACACATTTGTTTTATATACCGCATCCTTCGTTAACTCAGAAATTAATTTTACAGACACATGAAATACGGTACCGTAATGCAATTTTCAACGATCACTCTTTCGAAACTTCGTTCGGTGTACATGTATGATATGGTGCCAGCCGCGCGCTCACGCATCTAAATTGCCATAGCTACGTATGCGCGTATACAAAGATTATCTCTGCCCGGTTAATATTTTTTACCATCCCGCCTGGCAGTCCGTAGTGAATTTCGTGCCCGAAAATTTGACCAACCAGAGGCCTAGAATCTAGACATGTGGTTTATTATACAAATGTGACTGCTTTGAGGAGCACGGTAAAAACTATGGCCCGAGATGAGCTCGCAAGTGTGCTATGCCCTGAGACGACAGTCGTGGGGCAACACAGTTGCGAGATCACTCACCTTTTCATTTTTTCTCTCCTTCCTTCTCTCTCTCTTTCTCCTTATCTCTCTCCTTTTTTTCTCTCCCTCTCTTTCCTTTTCCTTTTTCTGTCTCTTTGTCGTTTCTAGTTGTTGTTTTAAAATATGTTGTTCCTTTTTTGGCTCACCACCACGTGAGTATTTTTAAATATTCCCCTCAAAGGGTCACAATATGTCATCACTGTCTTACACCTCTCTTGAGACCTTTGCAATCGAATCATTCAGAAGAAAATATGACTTTGTCTTGTTTTGTCGAGAAATCGAAAGGCCAGTGTTCGGCTTTGCACAGATGGACCAAGAGAGAGAGAGAGAGAGAGAGTAAGACTTGAAAAATGGGTTGGTTTCGAGACTTTATAGTGCTCTTGTTATCACGGTGAAGGGTAAACCATTGAGTGTTTTATCAAGTACTCATGTACATTAACCCGAGGCCCACTTTTAACATAATTCTCTATAGGGATGAAGTACGTATCTATATTATACGATATAATTATTTGTTTTCCCACAAATGCCTTCAAGGTGAGATTTTTGAGGTGCTTTCCTTCTATGAATGTGTAATGATGACTCTTCATCATGTTTCTGCAGGAGGATACAACATAATTACACAAGTGCCTGAGTGATAGATTGAACGGATTCCGCTTCGAAAATGTTATTCATTACATTTATTTCTACATTTCGGTTGCAATTCGTTTTCTTTCTATTATGAAATAGGAATGATTTCGACAGAAAGCACTTCGATTCCATTAGTGGATTAAATGGTCTTTCTTTTTTTCCACCTGAAAGTTAGACTTTGTTCAGGTTTCTAGTTCTCTCTATCCAGAGACAAAATAGTAAGGAAAATACATATTCATGTGGAAGTGTATTTTCTGCTGTGACATTTCAGATGAATATAATAGTGATAATAAATCAATGGCAGGGTAGGTAATCTTTAAGGATCATTGAGATAAGTCTGGCTTACTCGACCGGATCACTAGCGTAGATATGCTAATTAATATATATATACATCTATATTATCTTCTCTTTTCCTTATTGCTAAAGTGACATATTTTTCTCCTCTTCTGCCTGAGTAGTTGAGATGAAATTCAGCGACATACATGATTTGCATGTAATGATTCGCTTATAATAACCATGTTTCTTTCTTTTCCGCTATTTTAGGTATCATAGTCTACTATAAATATTTCTATCCTCTTTTTGTTTAGTCAATATAGAGAGAGAGAGAGCCTGAGAGAGTAGCGAATCTTGCATGTACATTCACGACATCTAAAGTTTATGAACATTTTCGACAGGCTTCGCGGTATTGAAATGATTTATATAAATGACAGGCATTCTCAAAAACAAAGTCTTTAGGAGGAAAAAGCTTTAATGATATTGAAGTTTATTATGTAGATGGATGTCATGTAACTGCAGTATTTATTAATTACTCGTAACGCTCAATCAAATCGTACCTACTTTTTACTTGTTGACAGTTTGCGATACCTGATGTACACCAGTCCTCTTTCGGTACTTTCTAAAAAGTAAAACAAGGTTTTTATTCACATCAAGATCTCCCATATTAGACGATACATTCCAGAGAGTTGATATAAATGACCCGTTTAGGAGTATCGGAGATTCAGAACGGGTTTGGCAAAATATTTACGTTGGCTTTAACAAAAATAGGTTTGTTTGCTATATCACTGGTGGATGTAGGAAATATAAGTTTTATGAATCTAGAGTATGTCTTTTTTGTTTTTACTTTTGTTTTGATTGTTGGTTTTTCTTTTAATTTGTAATTTGCTTGTCCAATTTTTGTTTTGTTTTGTTTGTTTTTTGTTTTTGTCAAATAATTGTTCATGCTCCCTTAACTATCTACAATATGCTTGATCCGTATCTGCACTTATTATCAAGTAAAAGATTAAGGAATATAGTATATGATTTTGATGGATGTCACTACTATTCTAAATAGTTATTCTAAAAAAATTATTTATAATTATAATGGATTTCTACAAGAGCTTACAAAGCGTACGATGGAAATTATTTGTGGGCAAAGTTGGAAGTGCTTTTCTGAAAACACTTATACATATGACCACATCCAGTCACCACTCCAGTCAAAACTCTTCTTCGGAGTATTTAGGAGGAAAAGAATCCAAGATCCAAGAAGATATGAAAGATAACATCACGATTAATGTTCTGGAAAATTTATTAATGGCATTTGAAAGATAACGAATAACATTTTTTAAACAAAATGTGCTTCAGTGAGTAATTTGATTCTCAAAGATGTTCAAGATGATGGTTGAGCAGCTATCATCAACATGACGAATGGCTTTCAATTTGATTTTTGTTTATATTAAGTCACAATTTCCAGCGCCTTATTAAATAAAAGAACATGTTGATGTGTTTTTTAAAAGTAATTTAGTAAGTCATTTATAAACGTTCGAGTAGCATTATAGGTAAGTGTTATTAAATTGCTGTGCAAAATAATGGTTTGTATAAAATGCTGATTGTTAGACATAGGGCTGATTCTTTGTAAATTCAGGGCATATAATTAATATGAGTAATTTGAGAGACATCTATCATCAGCAGTAACAGGGGAAGCTGTTATAGTTAACGTATACAGGCCCACGAAGCCTATATGGGCGTAGACGTTTATAAATTAGTTATTGTCTGACATGATATATACAAATATCAAGTGTTTAAAATCTGGTGCCGAAAAGAAGGTCTAAATACATGTATAATTATATATATAGTTTGCTACTGCATGTCTTGTACAGCTTGATAGAGGCAGTACATTGGGCGCCTCTGTAAACGTGAATGTGAATCTTAGGCATGTTCTCAACTTGAAGTACGGTAACTCAATAATTTTCTACCATTATGACTGGTGTGAGTTCATTCTTCTCTGTTCTATCTCATAACTGTCATATATTTTACGCTACGATGATTATGTCTTTCCGCCCCCGCAGATAAACTTCCCATAAAATGTGGCAGCTACATTACTTTGTATCAAGACAAAAATCGTTCTAGGATATAAATTATACAAGTAATGTGTATTCAACCATGATCTGTTTTTTCCTTGCTAGTAAATTTCTGTTTTGAGAGTTGCCCTTCAGCTACCCATTCGCCTTAGCATCCTATAAACTGGCAGTTATGGCTTTATATCACACTATGATGGTTTTATGCGTGTGTGGGACTGGGTGTGGCAATGTGTGTGTGGGTGTGGGGAGTAAGAATGTGTGTGTGCGCGCTTAGCTCCAATCTTACCACCATTCAAGGCTCACACACCGAAATGGCAACAAAATGAAGCCATAGTCTGCATGACTGTAGTCTATTATCCCCTAACATTACAAACTTCATACTCGGTCATTTAAAAA